TTTTATATTTTCTTTCTTAACGTTGCTTTTACTTGTTTGTTTTTATTAATTGGATTGTTACATTTCAAATATTTATAATAAGGGAACTTTTATCACAGGATCAATTGTAGACATTGATGGACTTAAAACGTTTAGCACGTATATTGGAGGATATCGCTATTATTATATAAGCGAATTTTACATAGCACTGACAATTGTTTTCACAAACTTTTTTGTGTCTCTTGTTTTTATCATTGCGGCTATTTATTTTGTAGTAACAAAAAAAATCCAAAATCATTTCTCATTATATCAAATGGCATTGTCATATGTATGTTAGTTATATTTGTAATCTTTTTCATATTAACTTTTACTCTGAAGTGTAAAGACTTTACACTTGAAGAAGATGACGTTCCCGATTTTGAAATTAAAGTTTGTTGTTCTGTTAATAATTTATGTGTATATATTCAAACAATAATAATTCATTGTCTATGTATACTTAAAAATGCACGTGAAACGACTGACTGATAGCATAATTGTTGCGTAGATGGATATGTTAAATGTGCTTGTCATGAGTTGGAGAATATAACAGGCTACAATGAAAGTAAATGTAAAACGTGTCAGCCTGGTTTCGATTCAGATGTGACTTATCTCATACTTCCAATACTGTGTTCAATAATAGCAATTGCATTGATACTTTTAGCTGTTCCTATATTTGCTATTAGTTCATTTTCTTTATTTAAAATTTTAAATGCTAAATGTCCAAAAGAATTGAATAAGGAAGTCCCAGATGATGCAGTGCCTTTAGTTTAATTTTAACCTTTTATTTATATTACTTGTTTGTATTGCATTTTGTAAACTATATAAAACGAGTATTATGTGATTATCATGTTTATTTTTATTGTATACCACAATAATATTAACAATAAATGTAATTATATAAACATTTTAAACTTATGTTTTTAAGTTTGTAAGTGATTAACATACTTCATTATTTGCTAATTATTTGAACTGTATTTGTTAAATTTAATAATTAATATATATATAAAATAATTTATTAAAATTTGTTATTGATTTGGCGTAGTCAACAAAAAAGTAAATAATTTTATTTTTTTATTTGGTCTTCAACATTATTGTTATTGGTGAGAAAGTGGGTCATCGAAGTTATATTCTAATTGTAATAATATATGTTGAACAATTTCAAACTTATTGAAAAACATACCAAAACACAATATTTTATAAATTTACAACATAATGTATTGTCTGTTAACTTATTGAATATTTTCTTAAATTATGGAGTTCTGGCGACAATATATTTTGTTTTGAAAAGTTTAAAAAAATTCATTAACAGAATCACATTCTTTTGTTTAATGTTTTAATTAAAACATTTCTAAAAATTGAAGAAAAAACCTACAAATTGTTGTTTGAGCATTTAATTTGTTTATTGTTTATATTTCAAAAAATTCATCGAGAGGTAAGTTTTTATTGTTTATCACATTAAGTTTAAAATAAAAATGATTTGTATTATTTAAAACAGTAACAATATAGTAAGGTTAAAAACAAACAATCAAGTTTATTACTTAATTAAAATAAGTTATAATGTGTTGTTTGTTTGTTTTTTATTTTATTTTTTGCATTTTGTTTTTTTATTCAAAAAAATGTTAAAAAAGTATTGGATTGTTAGCGAATTAACCTGATAAATTATCTATATTAAGACCAAATAATTAAAATAAAATCAAATATCAAATTATATATTTGCTGTTATTTTTATATAAATTGACAACCATTTTTGATTTGGGTGCCAGTCAAAGTGTATTTCGTTAAGTTAAGAGAAAGATATGCACAATTTAACAAACCAAGTGAAGTGCAACCTTTAAAACACAATACGCCAATTTCAGTCACGGGTTGTTGGCACAACAAATTCTGTTATTGAACAACAATTCAAAAAC